TGTCAACACAAAAGTTTCATGGTTCCACTTTTCTCGACTACAATTCCTCACCAGAAGGTCAGCGACACACTCAACCATGATATGGCGGCGAGTGCCAACACCTCAGCCAAGGCGGGATGGCAACGATGATGAAAGACTAGAAAGCTCTTGTCTCGAAGCAATAATTCTATTGTGGCGAGTAAGGCTAGGAATGTGTACTCGCGCTTAAGAAAGTAACTGCGAATACGAATATACTTTACGGATACCGAGACTCACTTACACGCAGAACAACGCTGACGCGTAAATGCTCTACATTTTCAGACCACCAACAGGCAACTATCGTCTTAGATCGCGCTCATTTCATACCCATCCAAAGAGTTAGACGCTCAAGACCACCTTTTTCCTCCACGTAGTCTGTTGTTTCGTTCGTCAGTCAGAACTTGTTGGCGACCCACGTGAACCCCCCCTGGCAAAGCCTGAGTCGAGACACGCTTCACCTCAACCCACGTCAACAAGCCCTAAGACAGCGCGTTTGGGTGACGCGCTCGCTCATACCTCACAGGATATCCGAAAATCATTAATTATCATATAATCAAGAGGAATTTTGAAAATTGTTCATTGCGTAGTTCAAATAGAATAACTCAAAACAGCGACAGTGGTATGTATAATTGCAAGCAACCAACCCCCCTTCCTCACCCACAACCGAGACTTTTGCCCTCTCCAAAAACACGCCGACCGTCCCCTCCAGCATTGTTTCAGACCATGACACACCGTAAGAAGACTCTGTCATGTTATATAAGATAATACAGGGGACAAAATCGCATAGAAATGACCCTCACTTCTAGTGTACCACCTCCAACATAATGAGATGACTGAGGGTAGAATCATACAGACGCGAGTCTCCGCGTGCACGTGTAAACAAACAGCCGATAATCCCGCGCTCCGAACCAAACCATCAAAATACCAGTAGCCGTACTTTCCGTACCCTTGCCGTGAACAGATCCTTTAACGCCGTGGCCGTCATTAATTAAAGTTCAATACTGCTCAGCGTCATTTACGCCTTAGCAGCGGCCTTCTTGGGTGCTGCCTTCTTAGGTGCAGTAGTCTTCTTTGGGGCTGCTGTCTTGGGGGTCTTGGTGACGCGACCTGTCTTTGTCTTTGTGAGAGCGGTCTCGGGCTTCTCAGCCTTGTCGGCCTGGGTAGAATGTTAGAGGATGTGGTCCAAGAGCAGCTAAGTCAGCACGTACCTTCTTGGGAGCAGGAGACTTCTTGGAAGCAGCGGACTTCTTGGCAGTAGCAGGCTTCTCAGCCTTCTCGATCTTTTCAGCCTTCTTCTCGGTAGTCTTCTTCTCAGCGGCGGCCTTCTTGGGGGCAGCAGCCTTCTTCTCGGTAGCAGCCTTCTTGGGGGCGGTGGTCTTCTTAGCAGCGGTCTTCTTGACGGCAGGCTTCTCCGCGGCCTCCTTCTTCTCGGCGGCAGGCTTCTTAGGAGCAGCGGGCTTCTTAGCCTCAGGCTGCTTCTTGGCGAGCTTGGTACCACCGGAAGGACCCTTGGGCTGCTCAAAGACACCCTTGTCGACACCGGCCTTCAAGGCCTTGTTGAAGAGAGAGTCGAACATGTTGTCGGTAACATTGAGAGTGTTGTTGGCCTTGACATACTTCTTCAATGATTGACGGCTGCGTGGCGAGTCAGCAACTGGTGGGAAAAGAGGGAAGGGAAAGGCGACAACGTGAATGTGTTGCGCGACGAGGATAAATGAAAAGTGAAGCTTACCTAGAGCCCTTTCGGTCCTTGAGCTGTTGGATGCAAAGAAAACACGTTAGTGAGTGAAACCGAATGAAAGAGAATGAGCGAGGTAAAATGGTCGGTAGGCCGCGTGGCGATAGCCTCATCCGCGACCGAAGACTGAGTGCGCGATGGTGGACGCGACATGAATGGGGAGCTTTCAGAATTCACATACGTTGACAATGGCATCAGTGATCATGTCCTGAGATTAAAATGTTAGCTACCAATCGAGAAGAAATATCTCGAGACTGAATGAACTCACCTGATAGCTGGCATGGCCAGACTTCTTGGGAGCGGCGGCAGCGGCTTTGGGAGGCATTGTGGTGGATTATGTGGGTTGAGATGACTTGAATAAAGACGTGTAGTTGAGACGATAAATGAGACGCGACAAAGACGTTTTGGAGATTGAAGGCTTTGGAAGACGTTTAAGGGACTGGAGAGCAAACGACGAGTAGAACTATCTTGGTCGGGCGCGTGGAGGGGACGGGTCATGTTTATATATTCGGCGGGGGCAGAGCGCAATCACTCTCCTCCCCAAGGCGCCTGCGCTGCTCTCTTCTTACTTACATCTTTGCAACTCTCCCGTCTTGCTCACCTGCCATGGGCCCACTTGCCCCGATTGGGAGGAGGGGCATTTTAAAGCGCCACACTAAAAATGCGTATGCACACTTAGCACCCGCTGGCATGCCATTGCACAAAACAGCGCACAAGAGCGACGGGATCTTCATAGAACACGTGAACTTTCTTATCGCGCTTCTGGATTGGCCGAAGCTCACTGCATAACTCACAATCTCTTGCACTATTTGGGTCCAGCCACACCCAAGCTCATCAAAGTTAGAGAGATGCCAAGCCTGGACCCTCCAAGATATGGCACTTGAGAAAATGGGGCACCCAAAAATGCCAAAATAATCCTGGGCAAGTGACCATTTTTCTGATTGGCCAGCCCAGACATCACCTCGGGTGAGGTGTACCTCTGTGTGATCTAGAGTCTGGCAAAATGCGAGCGCAACTCATGCCCCCGAGCATCCATTTCCCTCGATTCTCTCGCTTCTTCGACGGCCATTGTCCAAGAGATGAATGACTCGATTCCTTTGTCTTCTTGCGAGTCTCGGGCAATCTTTTGCGTTCCAAATTAGGTGGAAGATTCGCTGACTTGCTGCGACTGATATATGAGGCTTCCTTCGCGCTCGAGAACCGTTGAGCGGCGATTGAATGAGCCATGCTCGTTGTCGCATTCCGATTTACGACTCTTACAGTAATGAATCTGCTCCTGTGAAGCTTTTTAGTGCGTTTGTAAGAAACAGCGACCACGATAGTGTAATTTCTACGTTGTTCCGGCTCGATTCCATAACTATATGATCCATATCGCTCAAGGTCACTCCCAAGTCCATTTCTCAACATCGCGTGTCGTTTCTGAAGCTATCCGCATCCCACCACTGTCTAATCGTTAAACCACCACACACCACACCACAAGCCAATTTTGCATCATTTAGTCGTCGGAAAGTATGCAGATGCAACTTGAGTACATTTTCACTTTTTTTCGTTGAATAAAATATCACCATCGGCTCTTGAGAGGGCGAAGATGTTGCATCACGACTTACACGGTCGGAGGCGTCAAAGAAGCAACACATAATGGAGAATATTCTACGGTTCGCATTCACACATCTCAAGATCTCTCATTTAGGTGCTATTTTCGATCTCCGCTTCGTTATTTTCTTCCATTTGATGAATTTTACTTTTTTATATTAGATTTCCCTACACTTATGGTAAACTACTCAATGTATGTATATTATTCATACTCAGCCAAGCGGGTGAGACAGATCTGACTTGGGGCGGTTGCAATTCTTCGTCATTATTAATTGGTCTTCGACTTATTTACAACACTTAGGGAGGGAGAAGGTCAAAATCTCGCAACCTCGTCGTAACAGTATTACCAGCCACTTGAGGATTTACCTCAGGCCTCATCGTCGCAATTGACGCGTTACGTCAAGTGAGGGGCAGGACGTGGCATCATGAGAGCTTGCGCCCAACTCAACAGCCTTATCGTCTGGGCACTAAATCATATAAAACATACGCCAACTTTACAAACATCTGGCTATCTTGATATGCGGTTTATCGACCTTGATTTGAGATCTGTAGTCTACACTATTTTTGCTCGCCGCTATGTCAGTGATCAGGACGTGATTATACACCCCACCCGATCGCGGGCTTCTCATGGCATGGCTTGGGCTTGTCTCCAAACAGTAACACTATTGATTCATTTATGGGCCTATTTTTTTTTTCGAGAGTCGGTGTTTGCTTCGGTTGAGTTTTTGGTGAAGGGTTACCTCCATTCTGCAATGGTCTTTATCTTGTTTTCCGACGACAGAGCTTATAGTGAATCAATATGACAATATTACCTCCGTCACTACGACAGCCAGTACAACTTCTAACGACAACAAATATAGTAAAACAGCAAGCAGAGGTACCTGAAACAAAATAGAAAGACGGAGTACTCTCAAGTTCTCCCACGAGCTTACAAGAAAACGGTGCAGTTACACAAAAGCCAAAAGCCAACGACTTCATAGGTGTAGGTTAGCATTAACACATAGGCCGGGTTCCCTCCCAAGTTGAGCATGGTAAGCAACTTTGCTACTTTTCATATTATTCTGGAAGTCTCTGTTAATGGATATATTCATACAAAAAATCGTTTACGCAGCTGTTGAGCGAGACCTATGGCATCATATCGTTGGTTATGCGCATCATTACTTACACTTGTCAATTGCTATGTTGAAGCATCACATGACCCATCTTATAGATCACCGTCCGCCTGTACAGTGTATTTTCTAATTTATACTCCAAGCCTTACCAATCAGAGTAAGGTGGGACACGGAACACGATCGCCCAGAATGTCCAACCGGAAGGTGCACCAGAAAAGGCCAGCGAGGCAGGCAGGACACCTATCATCAACGATAGCATCTCGATTCTGCTCCTGAAATCTTCGGTGAAGAAAAAAGAAGATCTTCAGCTTGGGTGCGGACTTGGGAGACCATGTTCGTGATTTTCTGCATATAATTTCCTTGTCGAATTCTCTTGTCTCATGTTATTCAAGCTTTAGCTACCGCCTTCCATCATCCTACCTTACGGACGGTACATTTCATTGCCCCACGTCTCCTTTACTGGGCACACGCTCATCCGATAGATCGATACTCGTCCTCGATACTTTCGTCCCTTTCGCTTCTCGAGCCTCAACGTCGCAATGGCCGACTACGCTCAGTACCACGCTCTTGGACACGGCGAGGTTATCGACCCCAATGATCCTAACCGAACATCTCAACCCTCTGCGCAACAGTTCCAACCGCCAATCGCTCCCTCACCTTACCAACAACAAGCATCACCATATGGAGCACCCCAATATCTTGGAGGCCAGCAAGCGCCTCCTTCTATGACTGGCTCTCCCGCACCAGCTCCTGGATACGGTTATGCACCTCCTCAGGCTCAGGCTCCTCCAGGTCAAGCTCCTCCACCACAAGATGCTACACTGGCTGCTCAGCTTGGTGGAATGAACTTGGGAGATGGACATGGCACAGCGAGAAGGAAGAAGAAGGATCGTCATGCATACCATACCGTTGAACCTACCGGTTCCTCGCAAGCCTTCAATGGCATGCCTCCCCAGGGAACCTCGGCTACACAGTTCCTAGACAGCGTCCCTGGCGGTCCCGGGTTTGGAGGTCAATTTGGCAGCCCCCAGGGAACCCCTCAGATGCAAAGTCAGAGCCAGTTTAGTACGCCAGTTAACCCGGCATTTGGTCCTGGTCCTGTTGCTGGAACACCCGGTGTCGGCGAGGGCCTCGGTACAGCCTCAGTGTCTACCAGCGGACCCAAGGGAGTGTCACCTGACGACATGCCCAGCGTACCGGCCTCGCGAGATGCCATCCAGCAGTACTACCTCAAGAACGTCTATCCCACCTTCGAACGACATGTTCCTCCTCCCTCGACCGTTTCCTTTGTTGCCTACGACCAGGGCAACTCGTCACCGAAGTACACTCGACTCACACTCAACAACATCCCCACTACTCAGGACGCTCTGCAGGCTACCGGCCTTTCCCTGGGTCTCTTGCTGCAGCCGCTAGCTCCTCTGCAGGCTGGAGAAGCCGAAATTCCTGTCCTCGACTTTGGTGAAGCAGGGCCCCCACGATGCAGACGATGCCGAGCTTATATGAACCCCTTTATGATGTTCCGTTCAGGTGGAAACAAATTTGTCTGCAACCTCTGCGCATATCCCAACGATACTCCTCCCGAATATTTCTCTGCGACCAACCCACAAGGTGTCCGAGTTGATCGCGACACTCGACCCGAGCTTCACCAAGGAACTGTAGAGTTTGTGGTGCCTAAAGAGTACTGGACCAGGGAGCCCGTGGGATTGCGATGGTTATTCCTTATCGATGTAACCCAAGAATCCTACAACAAGGGTTATGTCGAGGCTTTCTGCGAGGGTATCCGTGTTGCTCTATACGGTGGTGAAGATCAAGAGTTGGATGAGAATGGAGAGCCGAAACGTAGGATACCAGAAGGCGCCAAGGTTGGATTCGTCACGTACGACAAGGACATTCACTTCTACAATGTCAACGTGAGTTAAAGATGATACTTATACTGTCGCTTTTACTAACTGTCTACAGCCTGCCCTGGATCAAGCGCAGATGATGATCATGCCTGACCTTGAGGACCCCTTTGTGCCCCTGAGCGAGGGACTCTTTGTCGACCCATATGAATCCAAGGATGTGATCACATCTCTGCTTACTAGGCTTCCGGATATGTTCTCCACCATCAAAAATCCCGAGCCCGCCCTTCTCGCCGCCCTGAACTCAGCACTTGCCGCCCTCGAGGCGACGGGAGGTAAGGTTGTGGCATCATGCTCTGCGCTGCCAACATGGGGCCCTGGTCGTCTCTTCATGCGTGACAATGGAAATCACCCTGGAGGTGAAATCGACAAGAAGCTCTACACAACTGAGCACCCGGCCTGGAAGAAGGTTGCCGAGAAGATGGCTGCTTCCGGTGTCGGTGCTGATTTCTTCCTTGCTGCTCCTTCTGGTGGTTATCTTGATATTGCGACTATTGGTAGGCCCAGTCCTTCAAAGTGTCATAAACTCATGCTAAGCTAATTTTCCTCTAGGTCATGTTTCCTCAACCACTGGCGGAGAGACCTTTTACTACCCTAACTTCATCGCTGCGAGGGATAGCCGAAAGTTATCACTCGAGATCTCACACGCCGTGACCAGAGAGACTGGTTTCCAAGCTCTTATGAAGGTCCGATGCTCTAACGGCCTACAAGTCTCGGGCTACCATGGCAACTTTATCCAACACACCTTTGGTGCCGACTTGGAAATTGGTGTTATTGATGCTGATAAGGCAATGGGTGTCAGCTTTAGTTACGATGGCAAGCTGGACCCCAAGCTTGATGCTCACTTCCAGTCTGCCCTTCTTTATACGACGGCTTCAGGCGAACGACGCGTGCGATGTTCAAATGTTATTGCTAGCGTTACAGAAACCTCTAAGGAATCGGGTGCGCGTGAACAGGGTATTCGTGAGTGCCTCAAGTTTGTTGATCAGGACGCTGTCATTGGTATGCTGGCCAAGGAAGCCAGCACGAAGTTGGCGACTACATCAAGTAACCTCAAGGATATCCGTCACTGGCTAAGTGAGAAGGCTATCGACGTTCTTGCCTGCTATCGAAAGCATGCCGCTCAGCAGCATCCTCCAGGACAGCTTGTTATGCCTGAGCGATTAAAGGAGTACTGCATGTACCTTCTTGGTCTCCTCAAGTGCCGAGCACTCAAGGGAGGTGTCGAGAACTCAGACCGCAGAGTTCACGAGATGCGGATGCTTCGTTCTATGGGTGCTCTCGAGCTGAGCCTGTATCTGTACCCCCGAATGATTCCTATCCACAACCTCGCACCCGAAGAGGGCTTCGCCGACCCCGAGACAGGCCATCTCAAGATGCCCCCTGCGATCCGCACATCGTTCTCACGAGTTGAGCCTGGTGGCGTGTATCTGGTTGACAATGGCCAACAGTGCCTCCTTTGGTTCCACTCACAGACTTCTCCTAACCTCATTTCTGATCTGTTTGGTGAAGACAAGGACTCCCTCAAGAGTCTTGACCCCTACACATCAGCTCTACCACTGCTCGAGACTCACCTCAACGCTCAAGTCCGCAACATTATCGAGTTCCTCCGAACGATGCGTGGTTCAAAGGGTCTCACTATCCAGCTCGCTCGACAAGGCATTGACGGCGCCGAGTTTGACTTTGCCCGTATGCTCGTGGAAGATCGTAACAACGAGGCTCAGAGTTACGTGGATTGGCTGGTACACATTCACAAGGGTGTTCAGTTGGAGGTAAGTTTCATCTAATCATGACTTGTCAACAGAAAGGTCTAACACGCATTGTAGCTGAGCGGGCAACGTAAGAAGGAGGGCGAGGAGCACACGGCGGCAAGCTTGTCAAACTTTGCAGGTTTGAGACCAGCCTATTGGTAGTTGAAAAAGTCCAGCAACTTAATAGAATCGGATCTTGATAACAGCGGTCGTTTATCTTATGGAGTAATGTAACAGAAACAAGCAAAAGACTTTGGTGGGGGAGACGGGATGAGAGGACAGATGATGATTTGGTTAACAGGTAGCGGGTAGCACGAACACACCGACACATTATCGTCGAGTCCATCTCAGTCTTGTCACGGACACTGTCCTTCCTGTCTGTTGTTGCACGATACATGTGTCCATCCGTAACATGGAAGACACTCAAGTATACAGTTTACACCGCAACATTGTCTTCATGCTTGTCTTTGATCTTGCAAAGACAACAGAGCAAGGCTGGCTGTATGTGTTTCTCCCTTGCAGGAAAAGTCACTCTGTTGTCACCTCGCCAATCTCTTTTTCAGGCGGTCAGTCAGATTTTTGTGTTACTGCATCTCGCCTCTTTGCATGACTCTCCTCTGCATGACTCCTCTGAAACAAAAACCCTCCCACACCTTACAGCTTGTTTTTACTCTCTTTGTTATTATCATAGTCTATCCTTAACTTTCTGTGTATGTATCCCCCCTTCACCGTTCTTTGCGCCTCGTGGAAAAGTGTCTGCGATGTAACGAGATGCTGATGTCGTGTAATGGTGTGGCAATCGAGATTTGTGCAACAGTCCGAGAGAGCAAGCAATGTTTATTTGACAAGGTTTTGGATACAAGATTTGAAGAGGCGGTGGAGAAGGGAACACAGAGATTGAGATGCATATATACGGAGTACAGCTGGAGACAACATGTTACAAGCCCATGGGGAAGCATATCACTATACGTACGTGTTGTATGTAACTCAAAACCCTTGCTTGCCAATGTCTCGTCTTATTCATCAGATAGGTTCTCTGCGGGACATGATCTGCCGCTAGTAACTTAAGTACTGTACTCCCATGATCGTCGACGTGCATTTGCGTCTGCATCTGCTGCAGTTGTCCAAGCCAAGTTGAGTGTAGTCTTCTTTTCCCCTGCGGCCATCCGCGGCTAAATGCTCGCCTGTCGTTACACGCGAGGCTGAACTTCAAGCGCTTCATGATATACGTATATATCTTTGATCGATGAGTTGTTGGGGGCTTGACTCAGGGGGGTGCGTTATCTTGCATTGGTAGTTTGATGATCGTGTTGAGATCACTGCTGAATCCTCGATTACCCCCTTCAGAAGATACTGGTATATTCCCGACGTCGGTAGTCAGCCTCATATGATTCATGATTAATTAGGCACCTAGATATGACCTATCAAGTTGACTCGTATGTTTGAAAGTCATCCAATCTTCTGAGCCACGTCAGATCAAGTTTCTGCCTTCACACGAACATCCGAGGAAATTTGGGAGAAGCAAGTCCGAACAAGTCTAAACTTAATACTCAGCCCTGACATTTGTTTCGTTTAGAAAAGTACGCTACGCATCGATCCTCCGGCTGCTTCGGGGGTACCCGCATGTACGTAGTGACTACAGTGCAAGCCAGGGTTCAACTACGTTCAAAGAGAGCTGATAGGTGGGTCATATGAGACGAATAGTCTTGCGTATATAAATCACCCTATTTAGTTGAAACAGAAGGGATTCGGCAAGGGAATGTTTCTTCCAATGAACCCTAGCATCCAGATACCGTGCCTTGGAATCTCAGTCAGTGCTTGAGGACCGATAGGGTGCTCACATCTCAGCCTGACTAGGGTCTTGGCCGAGTTCATCCCACATCCAACCCTCGAGCGGCACTGTAGATCGAGGCTGTGAAAGGGCATGCAGTGTTTCCGTGTGCGACATGAGATAGCAACAAGATTCCCTAAACAGCTGAGCTAAATATATATGTGACACACCCAACGCCGATACCATCATTTATTCGTCGTGATACAGGAGCCTGACAGGGCCACTTGTAGATCGGGAATCAATAAGGCGCCAGACACAACCCCCAAACACCAAGAAAAAGAAAATCCTTGTCAAATGACCAGAACCAACAATAGCAAAGAACCAACATGACTCCTGTAACACTGCATATACCCTGACTTCGTCTGGTCTCTGTTCCATAGATTCCTCGTCCCTTGCATTGCCTCATAATTGGCCTTGGACGATTGATCGTCGAGGTTGGTATCGTTATGCGCTCGCTGACTTTTCGTCGTTCCTCGGTTGACCGCCAGAATGCGGGAAAGTACAGTTGAAATAAAACAAAAAAAAGAAACGTTTCGCAAGGGTCCCGCCAAGTCGGTCGGCCTCAAAAAATGACTAACTCTTAGAGTCATCATAGGCTCATCTTCCTGAGACAAGTTTTTCTTTGTTGACAAACTCGACTCAAGATTTCCGCTGGTACGGCTCTCGGGTTGGCAAGCCGTGTTCTGGAATCTGTCTCAGATTGATACAAACTAAATCATGTTGTAATCATGTTAAGTCCATATCGTGGGTCAGGCTGTCGCAGAACTCGGTCGACCTCACTCGCACTAAAGACGTGCTCGAAAATTTCACGATCAGCGGGAGCACTACTGTGACTTTTGCTTGACCCAGACGAGCTGGAGGATCCAGTCCTAGATTTGCCCTTGTTCTCCTTCTTGGTAATCTCGTCCATGATGTGGCGCATTGTGCTTTGTAGGGGGTCTTCAAAGACAAAGACAACGTAGGCAAACTGTCCTCGAAGGTCGGGATCGAAGAGCAATACATCCCGCCAGAGCTCTGCCAGCTCTTGGGGAGGATTGCGGTAGCCATTGCCCAAGCCAAAGTCCCCAATGACAACACGGTCATATCCGTTGTAAAGACAGATACGAAGAGCTCCGCGAAGCTTATCACGAGTCATCTCACGTTCCTCTGCAAAAGAGTACTTGAGCCCGTTGTCTTTGAGTTTGGGCCATCGGGTTGGTGGTACCGACACGACGGGTAGGTCAAACCAGCTCTCCAGCCTGTCGTAGCGGTCATGTGGTCCACGGCAAACCACAACAGCATCAGATAAGATGCCACCCTGTGATGGGATCGGGTAGTTGTTGGGCTCCGGCGAGTTCGGCCATGGCGTGTTCAATGTGGCTGAGAGGTTACTTCGGCGGCATAACTTCTCCTCATATCCGACGCATCCAGTTTCCCAGTCACCTCCGGGCCTCCGTTCATTCGCAGCACATATGAACGGAATCCGCACTCGAGGACCTCCCATAGCCTCGCTTTGTTGTGTGTCCATGGCTGCATATGTCAATGCCTTCATGACTGGGTCTCCCACTTCGATTCTGAAGGAGGGTGGCCGAGTCGTAGGCTTCTGACGCTGGATGGCGAGTTGCATGATGGGCTGTCTATAGAGGTAAGAGTATGGTGGGAAAACTTCCCCGTAGTTCTTTTTGACAAGTGGAATGAAGTTCCTCTTGGTATCAGCTGCGACCTCTGAAGGCCGCACCCGGCTGGATCTTGGAGGAGCCATGATGAAGGTGTTGGATGTGTGAGCAAGCAATACGGACTTGTGCTGCTTTAAACAAGCTTGTAGTCAGGGCGCTATCAAACCAATGACGCCAATAGTGAGAGAATAAGTGCTAAGTCTGAGATGCCTAGCTTGATGAGGAAGAGCAGTGAAAGTGAGTGGCAGTGGGTTGATGAGGTCTGAAGGGCTGGGAATAAGGACTACGATGGAGGGTAGGAAGGTCTTATATGGACACTCGGCCGTGAGTCTGAAGAAACAACACGGCGGAGGAATCTGTCACCGGACATGATCCAAGGACTCATATTCTGGTTGACTGGCTTCTCCGGGACAAGCGAGTGAGGGAGGGATGGGCACTGGGCTGTGTGACCCAACATGTGCAAGATCTGAACCACTTGTTTAGAACAGACTCGGCCTGAGGCGAGGCAACAAGCCAAAGAATGAGCAGAAGAAAAACAGACCAGCATCACTTTATGGGTACGGCAAGACTTGGGTGCCAAAAACGGGGACGTTTCGCTTGACAACATGACCTAGCAGGCATATAGGTCTTGTACAGACGAGTTTAGGATGTACGAGCTGCAAATGGTACAGGGCAGCTCGAAAAAGCAAATGCAGGGCCAGACGAATCAAGACAAGCCATAAGAAGGGACAAGAAAAGGGCCCATCAGAGGGCTCAGGGACTGGGAACCACGTATCGTAGTCGACCGGGGATCTGTGCCGTACCAGATCGCAGCCCACCATCACAGGCGTACAGTGCAGTAAGGGCACCAACATCCAAGTTGACGGAACCAGGGTGGGCTACACTGAGCCTCCAATATCGGGAACCGTGGAGCATCTGCAAGATCTCACGGGGACACAGGCGGCGCCGCCATCTCAAGACGGAGGTAGCAACCACGCTGGTTGGGCTGTTTGACGACAAGGACCATAGAGGAGGGTGATCTTTATCGGCGAGCCTGAGACAGAACTGGCCGGGACATTGTTGCGAATCAAGATCTGTGGCACCCTTTCATCTCGCCTGGTGGAAGCTTGTGTCCAAGCGGATACCTAGGGCGGCGGACCAAAACCAACTTGTGAGAGAAAGAGACAAGAAACGAGGGTGAAGTGTGGATGTGATTGTGATTGTGGGGTGATTTGTGACGACGAGGCTCAGCTAAGCTATGGGGGCCCGAGAAAATGGAAAAGTGAAGAAGATGGTACGGAGTAGTAGTCTAGGATTGGCATGGGTTTCGGAGAAGTGACTGACGGCATCGACAAGGTCGATTCATGCATTCATTGATCGTGTGCGGGCGGATATCCCAGCTAGCCTCATCAGTTACATACTGTACCTAGATATGTACAGGATCCGTACATACATACAGCCAGTTCTGTACGATAGGGATTCCCACATGCTGGGGCTGGCTGGGGCGGAAGCTGTGCAGAGTGCGCAATCGATCGGTTCAAGATGTGAGACATGGAAAACCGCATAAAACCCAGTCACGATGCCTGGGCTGAGACAGGGTTGGTACCGGGGCAAGATGCTACTGTATGCTACCTAGAGTGCGGGAGGTTGCGGTGTGGGCTGCTTGCTTTTTCTTGGACCGAATGATGTCGGGATCTGTCTCTTGTTTTGGTGTGAGGAAATCGGTGAGTTCGCATTTTTTGGCTTCGAACTAGTCGAGAGAAACACGCTTGTTTCGATTGGGTGGGTTGGTGTCTAGCTGTGTCTCGTGAGAAGTGCGGTTGTAGAGGGTGAGTGGACGCAATATCTGATTGGAGTATTGACGAGAACATGGTCACTGACGTTTGTTTGATAGGATTTTCTGATGACCTACCTAGGTATGTATGTACAGTCTAGGCGGTGATGAACTGTGGCCTGAGAGTGAGATCTCAAAGTGGATGCATGGTTCATTGCAATCGAGGTTGTTGAGGTGGAAGAGAACTTAAGAGAAGAGAATATGTCTTGAACTGGAGATGAAACTGTAGTAAGGTATCCCTGAAACCGATGTGGAAAGGAAGGGGCACTGTCTGATATCCCTTCCCAAATTTCCATGTATTACCTTGTCCCTTCCTTTTTCCATTCCAGCTGAGAATTTATTTTTGCCTTCCCCAGTTGGCAGTTGCTTTGTCGATGTGACGAAATGAGGTAGCTCTAGCTCGATTAGCTTCAAGCAAGGAAAGCGCGTCCCGGTAGACTGGCTCGGGTCGTGCACCTGCACCTGCACCTGCCTGAACAACGATACGCACACCAGGGACTAAGTTAGCCTAGCGACCCAGCAATTTGGTGAGTGTGAGGTGCGTGCGTGAGGTAGGTAGTCTACCTTAACCGTCTCGCTGGTAAAGTCCTTAAGGCACCGCCGGTAATAGACGATAAGATCAAAACCACATAAAACAAACAAACAAACAACTCTAACCTAAACCGTTTCCAAGAGCCACCACACACACACTGATACCTAGAGCTTCAGAGCTCCTAGAAGAGATGCCTCCTCCTACGTAAGGCCTCTTACAAGTAGTACCTATCTAGGGCGTCTCGACTGTTGCAGCCAGCCACTCTGAGTTGGTCAGCATGACATCGACACCTCTACAGGACATCCCCCGATCTCAGCTCCAGCTCGTCCCAGCAAAATGGAGATCCGATGCGGTACATCTCTCTTAAGGGCCCGCCGCTTGACCAGAACGGGAGCCCAACTTCGAGCCCGCCATCCTCATCGGGCTCTGCTTTCGTATTCAATCGATAGTACCTGACGGCAAGGCGATTAGGTTACCCTAGACCAGCCCGTGATATTTCCAAAATTTCTCCACAGCCAACCATTCTTCCATCGAAACTTGGTATCCCTTGCGTTGGACGCCACGATACTACTTCAGCCCATCTCACTCACCGACAAAAGTCGTAATCATTTCTACATCATTACGCGCATGTTTCCGATTTGAGGCGGATCTGGTTCCCAACATAGCAAATTCGGGCTCCATGATTGGGTGTTGAGGAAAGGCACTTCCCAGCGTTAGCTTCTGCTGCTTGCATCTTAGAACGACCAACTGACTCGTCATCTCTCATAATGAGATCGTTTCGTGCATCGAGAGTGCCAAGATTGGGAAGACCATGGCCCCAAATAAGGCCGTATGCGGTCAAGGTTCCTCCTGGCGAGTGTCAGAAGGATATCAAAACTGTGGCTGAGCTTAAAGCTTGGGGCCCATCGGCCCATGTGCCTGATGTCGAAGTTTGCGGATGGGTCAGATCAGTGCGGAAGAGCTCAGGGGTACGCTTTGTCGACATCACCGATGGATCGTCCATGCGACCTGTTCAGGTGGTCGTGGACAAGAATCTAGCCACGGAGTATGTAGGTCTTGAGTCACATATATTGACACTGGACTGACTTGTCCACAGTATGCGTCCAGGCGCAGCTGTCCGCTTAAAAGGAACATGGGTTGATGAGAGCAGAAAACAGTCTGCCATCAATGGGACAACTCAGGCTTCGAGCAAGGGCGAAACGTCAATAAGCTCAGAACAGCCAGAGCTTAAGGTCTCAGAGGTGGAGGTTCTCGGAGGCTCTGATCCTATGGTACGTTCATCAAGAGCATCAGTATATCACAGATCAGGCCTTTTCTTACACATATCTAGACCTATCCGATCCAGAACAAATATCAGACCCCTGAAAGTCTTCGCACTATCTCACATCTGCGGCCAAGAACGCCCCTGAACTCAACAATGCTACGATTTCGATCAGATGCTACCGCCATGCTCACGCAGTTCTTCTTCCGTGAGCGTTTTCAGCAAACGCACCCTCCTGTCATTACTTCCTCTGATTGCGAGGGTGCTGGAGAAGCATTTGCTGTTAAAGCATCTTCTCCTGACGAGTTCTTCCGTGATCCCAAGTATCTGACTGTCTCTTCTCAGCTCCATCTTGAGGCTCTCGCTCAGGCGCTCGGCAACGTCTGGACCTTATCCCCAACATTTCGTGCCGAGCAGAGTGATACGTCGAGACATCTCAGCGAGTTTTACATGCTCGAGGCTGAGATGAGCTTCGTTGATGATATGGAGGAAGTCATGAACCTAGCACAGCGCATGCTGAACTCGATGGCCAGTGAGTTGAAGGAGCTGAATGCTGCAAAGGAGCTTGAGCAGAACCGAGTTGACTCGAAGGAACCTTCCGAGCGCCTGGCATTTAACGACCTAGTTGACCAGGAACAACTGGATCGTCGATGGCGAGGTATGCTCACCACCAAGACATGGCCTAGAATCACATACAGTGAGGCTCTTGAGATTCTCAAGCCTATTGCCGACCAATTTGAGCACAAGCCTACATGGGGTTCTGGTCTGCAATCGGAACATGAGAAGTACCTCGCTGAGAAGATAGGTTACGACGAGGCCACGGATGCATACGTTCCAATCTTCATAACACAGTATCCGCGGGATATCAAGGCATTCTACATGCGCCAGTCATCCTCGTCTCCGGCTTCGGGTCTGACAGTGGACTGTTTTGACCTCCTGGTTCCTCATCTGGGTGAACTGGCTGGCGGCTCTATGCGTGAGAACCGTCTGCCTCAACTTGAGGAGAACATGCGGGCCCTTGGTCTAGAAGTTCCCAGCAAGCGTTCCGACAAGGGCAAGGAGCTGGCCTGGTATCTCGACCTGCGTCGCTGGGGTTGCCCCCCTCACGGTGGCTTCGGACTTGGTTTCGACCGACTTCTAAGCTACCTCACTGGCGTGCCCAACGTCCGTGATGTCGTCCCCTTTCCACGCCACTACCATCGATGCGACTGCTAAGCGCTGATCCGGACTTGCACATCTCCTCTCATTTTCATTGCATCTGCCGCCCAAATACGGCCTTCACCGTCTTTCCACGCCTAACAGGGCATTCTCGTTAATGCCTGCCTACCTTGGATAGCCCTCCGCCTTCAGAGATACGTCCATTTCAGCGAGCAATTTGATACTATGTCTTTTTGCCGTGACACGTTGCGCACACCAAAGCAAGCGACACTTGTGTATCCCGTCAGGGCAAACGGTCACGAGATATGCACCGTCTCCTCTT